GGCAGGTTTCCTTTTATTATTTTTTAATTATGTGTCTGTGTGTGGGTGTATGCTCTGAGTGCCTGTGCCCTTGTCTGAGTGCCTGCACCCTTGGAAGGTAGAGGCGTCGGATCCCCTGCAGCTGGAATTATAGGCAGTTGTGAGCCACCTGTGTGGGGTGCTGGGACCTGAACCTAGGTCCTTTGGAAAAGCAGCAAGTGCTCTTAATGTTGTGCTGAGCTGTCTCTCCTGCCCGGCTTTTTGTTTTTGATCGTACATTGGTCTTAGCCAAAAGACAGAGAAGCTATACTTGGTTTTTTGGTTTCATGTAGCTCAGGTTGACTTCCAACTTGATGTGCAGCTGAGGATGACCTTGAAGTTTGGTCCTCCTGTCTCCATCTCCTGGATGCTGGGATCACAGGCATGTACCACCACACCTGGTCTATGTGATTGATGCTAGGGATTGAATCCAGGGATTCGTGCCTGCTAGGCAAGTACTGTGCCCACTGAACTATGTCCCCAGCCACGATAGTCTTTGACTTTCTGTCAGATCCCTAATGTTTCTGCATCCAGGTATGTGAGAGTCACCTGTAAGCCAGGTACAGTAGCACATACCTTTAACCCCAGCTCCTAGAAAACAGAAACAAAAGAATCATGGGTTTGAGGCCAGCCTGGGCTACACAGTGAGATCCTCTCTCAAATTTTAAAAAAAGATTGGCATATAATCTTGACACAATTATGAAGTGAGCATGAGGCCAAGATTGATACTTAGCTCGTTGATAATGAGGAGTCTGTAGATCTAACTGACCGCTGTGCACAGGTAAGGAGCATTGTGAATCTTTACAGCTAGGCAGAGATGCAGGTCGCTGCCTCCTAGTCACCTCCCGTCCTTACCCTCCTGGAGGCAGGAGTCCCATGCAGGGTATCAGAGCTGGGAGCTCGGCAGTGGGGACAGAGCAAGGAATCTAGCACAAAGCCCAGCAGGACACCTGGGGCCTCCTGTACCGTTCTCAGCCACATCTGACTCAGCCATCTGACCCCCGTGGTTTCCAGTGCAGGATTTCAATCATTTAAAGCCGTGTGTGCAGGTTGATGTTTTCTACATGGAGTTCGTATTAGAGTATAAGGAATTAGGCCTGGAGTGTGCTGGGCTGAGGACTCAGGGCTGTTGTCCTCAGTGACACAAAGCTCCCCCTGGTCCAGTGTGGTCAGGGACATGGTCTCCTGGATCCACCCAGGTGGATGGAGGCTGTGCAGTTCATCCTGACCTTGGAAGAGCCTTTACATGTCCTTCTGTAAGCCCACTGCAGCCACAGCTCCCATGGTGGCTGGAAAGATTGGAGAAGTTTGTCCCCTGGAAGCTCTCCTCGAGCCTGGTGCACATGGGACTCATGGGGCAGTCATAGGCTGCCACTCCCGACTCAGCTTTGGAGTTCCAGGCAGGGACACAGTGGCTTCAGCTTTTCAGACACTGCTTTTTAGAGGCCACGTGAGAGGATGGGAAGATGACAGAGGCAGGTCCTGTGGGACTAATGGATCTATTTCTGCAGCTTTTAAAATCCTAGAGATGTTACCATTTTTTTTTATGTGTATGAGTGTATTGCTTGTATGTATGTGAGTGCACCCATGTTGTGCAATGCCGCGGAGGTCAGAAGAGGGCTTCAGATTCCCCTGGAACTGGAGTTAAGGACTGTTCGTAGCCACCATGTGGGTGCTGGGAATCGAACCCGGGTCCTCTACAAGAGCAGTCAGTGCTCTTAACCGCTGAGCCATCTCTCCAGCCCCAAGATGTTACCATTTTTAATAATAGACTGTTTGAACTCATCTTCCAACCCACCATCTTCTTCCTCGAAGGTCAAGCCTTCCACACTGAGTTGCTGTCCTACAACCTAACACGCCTGCCAGGTTCTTTTTCAGTGTGGTTTTGTTGCTGAGAAGCATTTCTTCTTTTTGTCTGTTTGCCTCCAAATGTCTTGATTTCGCCTTCAGTAGCGCAGGATGTCTTTGCTGGAGATAAAGTGGTAGCCTGGAGCCGGGTATGATGGCGCACGTCTTCAGTCCCAGCACTTGGGAGGGGGAGGCAAAGGGCCAACCTCAGCTACACAGCAAATTTGAGGTGAGCCAGGGCTACAGAAGACCCTGACTCAAAGCAGAGCAAAGCAAAAGGAAACACAAGACAGCTTGGTTGCTTCCACGCTTTCTTTCTAAGTGACCATTTGTGCTTTCCAGCTCTTGTCCATTAGGAAGAGGGTCCTGTACTCTAAAGCCATCCTTTCCTCCCTTGAGTTGGGCTTTCTACAGTCCACTGTGAGGTCCAGGAGGCAGGTGGGTCTCTATCCTACTTGAGATTCAGTGGTGTTTGCCATCTGTTTATAAGATCCTTGGCCTACATTTCTACCCTGCTCTGCCTCTTTTCACCTTCTGGAATTCATAGTGTAAATTACTGTGAGTCAGTTTCCAGTCACTGCAACAAATCACCTGAGGCTGTGCAGTTTTGAGGAGGTTTACTTTGGCTCAGTTTCAGAGGTTGTAGCCCATGGTCACTCTGTCTGTTGCTTTGGGCCTGTGGCTGCACAAGATATCAGGATAGGAACATTGAGATGGAGCTGTGTCCCCCTAAGCTCTGTTCAACTTATGGTGACAGGGAAAAGGAGAGAGAGAGAGAGAGAGAGAGAGAGAGAGAGAGAGAGAGAAACACCAGGGTTCCAATGTCCCCTTCTAGGGCACACCCCAATGACCAAACTTCCTTCCATGAGGTCTTGCCCCCCTAAAGATTCCATGTCCAGCTGGCCGTGGTGGCGCACGCCTTTAATCCCAGCACTTGGGAGGCAGAGGCAGATGGATCTTTGTGAGTTCAAAGCAGCATGGTCTACATAGTGAGTTCCAGGACAGCTGGGGCTACAAGGAGACCCTGTCTCAAACACACACACACACACACACACACAAAAAAAAAATATTCCATGTATTGGAGATGAAGCCTTAATACTCAGGCCTTCGAAGGATGCTTATCCCAAATACAGTATGTGTCTGCTGGATTTTCCATTTTCTTTTTGGCTTTCTCTGCAGTATGACTTACTTTAAGTTATATTTTGAAATTAGCTTAGCTTACTAACTCGTAGGTTTCCTTAAGGCTTTCCCATGCATGCTCAGTTTTGGTTAACCCACCCACCCCCTTCTCTCCTCCATCCCCACTTAGACTTTTAACCCCCAGGATTTTCCCTTCCTGACATCACCTGTGTTCTACTAGCCCTCCAATTATGTTTTTAATTGGGTTGTGAGATAGTGGGCTTCCATATGGCTTTCTAGACACTGTATTTCCTCCACGTTCCCAAGCCCCTCCCTGCTTGAGCCTTTCAACCCTCAGAATGCTACATTTGCCCATCTACCATCCCCCTCCAAAAGGCCCCTTTCTGTTGGCCTGACTTCTACTTGTGCTCCAAGTTAAACACACAAATCAAGAAAGCTAAGCTAGATCTGCGTGGGAAAAAGAGCACGTGACGTTTGTCTTTGTGGACCCGAGTTACCTCACTTGGTCTACTGTTTTCTTTTGGTTACTTCTGACCAGCTCTCTCTGTACTAATCATTCAGTCTCAGCTCTTACTTGTGTTAGTATTCTATGCTCCAGAGCTAATTAGTCATTTTCAATCTACCATATCACTTTAAAACATTTTGCAACAGCATCCCATGTAGCCCAGACTGAACCCATTATGTAGCTGAGGGTGACCTTGAACTCGTGATCTTCCTGCCTCTACCTCCACAGTACTGGTGCTATAGGTATGGATCAACACACCTGGTTTATGAGGTGCTGGGGGTTGTTCCTGGGCCCCTATGCACACTAGGCAAGCGCTTTGCCAGCTGAGCCCCAGCCCTAGCCTCAGGTCTTCTATGGTCTGTAATCCCATGTCTACATTTCACTCCTGGGTTTTATTTCTTTGAAAGCCTTGAGCACAGTGGTTTTGTGGACCATTTGTGATGGGTCTCTCTCCTCAGCACAGTCTGTCTCCTTGCATCTTCACTGTATTGACTGCATACAGGACATTAGAATTAGAGAATGGTCTGCAGGTGTAACTGGAGGCCTTGAGTGATTTCTTACTCCCTCTGCCAGGCATGTGTGGGTGCTATCAGCCTGGGACCATCTTCATCTTCATTCCAGGCTGGAAGTTCCTGGACCAGCTCCAGGCAGGGGGCAGAACGAGCATGCACGGTGCCCTTGGCCTACAGAGGGAGGTGGCCAATCAGGGTGCCCTACTTTGGTGCACCCTATGCAAGTGCCTCACCTCCCTGGACCCTGGTCCTTTGGGGCTCTCTCCCGTGTCAAGCTCTTCCTAGGATCTGAGCTCTGTGCCCCCTCCTGGGAGCCTTCCTGCTTTCCTGGACTTGGCCTGGTCATCCCTCACTTCTTCCTCCTTTTTGATACTTTAGGAAGGTATGCCAGGTATCGTCTGTCGACTGATCCAATCCACTTGCTCACCTGTTCCCCCAAGCACAGCCCCTCAGATGTCCACACCTGCATCTTGGTCGTCTGTCACGAGCTCACAAGTCCCAGCAGCCACGAGTCTTCACTCGGGCTAAGTCCTCCTCCCACCATTGCTGCCATCCCTGTCCAGGCTGCACCTCTGCCCAGCAGGCCTGGGGCCAGACCCAAGGGCCTGTCATCATCTTCCACATTGTCTCTGCTCTGCAGACCCTGTGACCTCCTCTTCAGGCCACCTCAGCCTCCCCTTCAGAGTCATCCCACCAGGAAGCTCACCCAGGCCCCTGCCTACCCCAGGAGTCTCCTGTAGCTTATCTGCTGGCTTGTGTCCAGCTTTGCCTCAGCTAGGCCTTGTTCCAGCCTTGAGCTATGGAGGAACCCGCCAGGCTGGCCTGGGCAAGATGTCCCCTTCACTCTTCAAGGAGTCTAAGCAGGAGACCCTGAGTCATTGCAGGCTGTATGAAAGCCTGCAGTCAGGTAAGTGATTTGACTGTCCCCACTGGTGCCCCAGAAGCCTGGTGGGTCATGGTGTACCCACTCTCCACAGTGCTGCCAGACCCTGCTCTCCCACCACGTGGACCCCTTCCTTCGAGATGAAGATGGGTTCACAGCGATGGACCTGGCAGAGTACCATGGACACCAAGATTGCACCCAGTACCTGCGGGAAATGGCCCGGCCGGTAAAATCTCAGGGGCCCCATCTGTCCAGAGGCCCGGGAGGGTGGTTTGGGCTCTGCCCAGCTGGCTGCAATGCTTACTGCATACACCCTACCACCTCCCCCCTCAAATACCTGCCAGGAGCAACAGTCTGGGAGGACCCAGCTAGTGACACAGCCAGAGTAGCCAGGGGCCAGGCTGCAACAGAGACCAGGCTGGACTTGTCTGTTGTATTGACCATAGAAATCATATCCGTGTCTTGGAGATGTTATGTCCAACTGAGCATACCCAGGGGTGGGAGCAAGACCTAGTTCTGAGGTGTCCCTGAGGCAGTCTGTCACACCCCAATGGCAGCAGGTCTCACTTTACTCCAAGTGTGACCTCTCAGTCTCCCCACCTCTCAGAGGTAGAGACCTTGACTGTCCTACTGTCCCTGTTCCTAGCACAGGACAGGACCCAACAAGGATTTGCTGAGTGTTCAGGTGGGCAAAGAAATGAACAAGGGGGTTTGCAGATGAGGTATGAGCAGGTGGTCAGTGTGGGTGGGAAGAGGGGGGGGATGGAGGAGTTGGTTGCTGCTTGGTGCTCCAGTTAGGAGCTTGGACCCTGCTCCTCTCCAGTGTCCCCCACTGCCCTGCTCTTCCTCATTTAGCCCAAGGGGGAGGCTGTGATGAATCGGTCCTAGCCTACTGGTTTCCACCACTTCTCTATGGTGACACCCCTTCAGGAAGGTGACCATCCCCATCACAAGTTCACTGTGATGAGGGCACTTAAGCCCAGGCGGTGAGACCCCCCCCTCCCCAGGGCCTTGGGAACATCCCTTCAGAGTGCCTAGGATCAACTGTTCTCTGAGTCCTCACACAGGCACAGCCAAGAGCCCTGTTGTCACGCTTAAACCTGTACCAGGCCCGGGACAGCTCTGGGCAGCTTTAGTGGGCCACCTTCTGGGGTGGGAGTTTCAGAACCGAGGATTCAGCTGCTGTGGAAATGCATCTGTGGTGTAAAGCCAGGCTGTGTCTAGCTGGTTTCTGGGAAGTGGGCAGGGCTGCACATTCTGGGCTCTGGCATCCCCAGCCACTGGAGATGCCAGGCTCCTGTTCTTACCAGGCTCTGCTCCTCCCTCGATGGTGGCTAAGATCAGGAGGGGAAAAGAGGGGCTGCTCTACTGTGTCCCCATTCCACAAGCACCTACTGCCAAGGACCAGGTCCCACCTGGCCTCCTGGTGTCCCTAATCCATCCCCACCCCAGGCGTGCAGTGGAGCCCAAGGCCAGGGGTCTTTGTCGAAGCAAACTCTTGGCCTTCCATCCCCAGACCCTGGCACTTCCAGCCCCTCCTGGACTCTCCTCCATGCCTTTGGGGGAGGAGTTTTGCATGTCTCCCTGTCCCTGAGCATGAGGAACCAGCCCATCTTGGCTTCCTGGGGCTGTTCGGGCCCCAGCTGTGCCCTCAGGGTCATACAGGTCCCAAGGTTGCTCTTTTCTTTCCTGCCCATATTTGGGCACACCAGCCTAGGCCCTGCAAGCCTGAGCCCTTGCCTTGGGCCCAGGTACTGTGTAGCCAGGGAATCCTTTAGGGCCTCAGAGTTAGGGCTAGAGGTTGGTCGACATGTTTTCTGCCTTGGGAGTGCCTGGCGAGGGGGTGCCTGGCTCTGACACTGGCTGGAGCTGTCCCTGCAAGTCTCCTACCTCACAGCTGTGGTGCCATCTCTGCTTAGAGGGAGGGCAGGCTGTCAGCTGCAGGCTGGCAGCTGGGGGAGCACGCTTGATGCAATATTGATGGGAATGCAATATGTAGAGGTGGCCTGTACCAGCTCTCCCTGTGTGGGCCTGAGGAGGTGGTCAAATCCACCATTTCCCCTGACACCACTGCCTGATCTGCCCCCCAGGGTACTCACAGGCTCCAAGAGGGAGCCTGGATGCTAGCTGTGGATGTCAAGGCTGCTCCACAGAGGGTGCCCCTTCAGTGCCCACTTCATGCCCGGGATTCTGTGGGACCTTGGCAGCCCTCTTCTGGGTGTGGAGTCTGCATAGGGCTCTGGGGAACACCAGGCCTTGTGCCTTCCCTGGGTCTCGGTGCCCTCTGCACAGTAAAGGGCTGCCTTCCCTAGGTGGAGAGGAGCCCTGAGACTACTGAGGCAGGCTCTTGCTGCCCATTCCGATCAGTTGGCTGGTGGTCTGGCTCTCTGGTGTGGGAGTCTGAAGGCCATTCCACCAGTGCTGGTCAGCAGCAGCAGCCCTGGACAGCATGTCCTCTAAGCACAAGGAGTGTAGTCCTCATCCCACGGAGTCTGGCTTGCCCTGCCCGCCCTAGCAGTACTCACTCTCACCAGTGTGGCCCGACTCCTCTTGGACACATGGCACCAGCCTCAACGTCCTCATCCTTGAAGTTGATCTGAAGACCCTGTTTGTGGGCAGAAGCAGTGCTCCTCTCCTGTTCTGCCCTGATGGCCTCAGCCCAGTCCCCCTCCCGTCAGCGCAGAGAGCCCTAGGGTCCCTTCATTGACAGACTGGGGCCAGAGAAGCCTGGGGACTTCCCAGGCAGGGCGGAGCCAGCCACCCACAGTAACGGAATCTCAGCTGTGGTGATTGGTGTCCAGCACCTTCTGAGGCCATGATTCTCAGCCCGGGTGGCATTACAGGCCTGTAACCCAGCTCACCACAGCTGCCCTCCATGTATAATGCATGGCGGGCTCAGCAATGCTCAAATCTCACCAAAAACGGGAAGAGATGGCAGGCAACAGGGCCAGCATGACCACTACCCTTGGAGCAACTGTCCCTGGCAGTGCATGCCCACCTGTTAGGGCTAAAGGACAGAGCCTGGTACCTGCCCCCGCCCCCCATCCTGAGAGTTCTTTCAGGGTCTGAGTCTGAGAGGCAAGGATGTGGGGTTCCCACTTCCTAGGAAGCAGCACAGCTAGGCTTCCTCCCTGTCCAAGTTCAGAGGAGTCAGAGAACCAGTGGTGTCCTGTGTAGGTCCAGCCAAATGCTTTCCAGAGCACCTCACCTTCATCAACCCACTTGTAGGTGAGGACACGGGGCTCAGGATGACTTCCCTTTCTTGTGAGTACTGAGGACAGCAGGGCTCGGCCCAGGGACCTGAAGACCCCAGGCTGTGGGGCTGTTCTCAGGCCAACATCCAGGTTCTTCTGTCCCTCCCAGCCTGAGAAGGCCACTACCAGCCGAGCCCCTCACTCTTCCCAGGGTGAGGTAGGGAAGAGGCTTCTTGTCCCGCCTCTTGACAGTAGAGTTAATGGCAGAGAGGAGGCTGAGGCTCCCAGGTAAGGGTCTCCTTGCCCCCAGGTCACACCCCAGGGGGCTGCTATGCTTTCAGTGATTTTGTGTCTGAGCTTGTGAAGCCCCATTTCAGAGTGAGCATTACCCAGGCTCCACTGCTCACTGGGTCTCGCCTGCAAACAGTCCAAGAGGGTCAGGTTCAGCATTTGAGGTGGGAGGACATCAGCCATGGTCATACCCTGAGACCCACTACTGCCCCCTCTTCAACTACAGTGCCTTGGACTGGCCCTGAATGCTCCCAGAGGGACATTGAGAAAATCGCACCTTTGCACTGGGAGCTGTGTGGCAGGCGGGTCTCCTCCGAGTAGTCCCTCGGGAGTTCAGGGGCTCGGGTTCCCCATCTCCCACAGGGTCCACTCCCAGCTCTCCACTGTAGAGGGTTAAGGCTCCATGGTAAGGGATCCCACACCCAGCCCCAGCCTTCTAGCCATCTGACACCTTAGCCTTCAAATATTAATGTGACACCTCCCACTCTGGGGGTGCAGCTTCAACAGCCCCCGACTGCTGGAACCAGGAGGACCACAGCTCCTGCATTCCACCGTGCTTCTGGGATCCCCAGGCTGCCCTGGGTAGATGACCCAGCCTTCCAGCTCCGTGTGCCAGGCTCCTGGGTGCTGCGATTCCCGGGAGAAACAAGGTGCAGAGGGGCTTTGGTTTTTCCCTTCCATGCTGTCTTCCCTTCCCTGTGACCTGGCAAGCTGAGGGTCTTGGGTGGCACGGAACCGAGAGGGAGAACAGACCCTCCTTGGTCACAACTTCGGAATGGCTCAGAGAGGTCAAGAGTTTGTCTGGCAGTACAGGCTGTAATATCACAGGGTGCAGGCAGAAGGCCACTTCTGCAGAAGTGGGTAGGGATTTGAAGGCAGGCACAGCAGAGCTGCAGCGTGGGTCCCAGGTTTGTGTTATGGGCTCGGGCCACAGGCCACACATCCTGGATCAGGGCAGGTCTAAGCCAGGGCCTCTGCCCTCCTCAGGGCTCTCATCAGCACCATCCCAGGGCCTGACAGAGTGAGCTCCCACTGACCCCTGGAAGGAGAGGCTGGGGCTTAGGCATGACTGTGAGGTAGAATCTCACAGGGAATGCTATGCAGCCCTGTTAGCTAGAGGCAGGAGTTGGGTGTCTACATGCCAGGGGTCAAGCAGCCTTCCTCATCAGCTCTGAGCCAAAAGGCAGCAAGCCTCAAGAGAGCTCGGGAAGATATGCGAATGACCTCACGTCTCTTCTCCCCAGCCTGAACTGGTAGGAAGGAGAAGCTTCCACTGTCCTGGGTCAGGTGCCACAACTGAGACAGCAGGGCTGACCTGGGTGGCACGTCAAAGACTCTTTCTGGTCAGTGCCTGAGGGCAGTGGAAGTGACCAAGGCCAGGTAGGTGCCCCACCTTAACATGGGGGGAGCTGCCACTCCAGCCCTCAAGGCTCTTCCTGTGGTTCTGTTTTGGGGTGGCCTGGACACTGCATGTAGGCACTGGACATGACACCTTGCCTGAGGTAAGTCCTAGTCATGCAGCCCTTGCCTATGGGCTGAGAAGAGTTCTAAGTTTTCCCAGCTTGCCTCTCTGCCTGACTGAAACTGTTTTCTCTTAGGGACTGGGTGGGCCTACCAACATCTGGAAGTTTAGGGCAGGTGGGGTAGCTCGACTCTCCAAGGCCAGGCTCCCTGAGCTGGCAGCTGGGCCCTGGGCACAACCTGGAGGTTGTGCTCAGGCACCATGGGCCCTGTGTGGCCTGTGCTTCAAGCACTGGCATCTTCACATGAAAAGGGGCTGATGGGCTTTCGGGCACCCACCACTGCTTCCTTCTCCTCACCAACTCTCACTAGCCCACAACTCCAAGTCATCCTCAGACCCAGGTCATGAAGGGACCCAGGTGAGTCTCAGCAGAGGTTGAAAGGGGTGTGTGTATGTGTGTACAAGCTCCCATCTGTGTAGGGCCAAGAGAGGTTAGCACAGCTGGACCCAATCTCTAACCCAGAATCCAGGGGTTAAGCTGCTCTAGGGGCCCTGAGCCAGGCCCTAAAATGGGTGGAGGGCACAAGTGTGTTAGGAAGCCCAGACACTTGGCATAGGTGGGCAGGGAGACACTGGCGGGACAGGCTCCTCGTCTTTCTCCGTCAGGCTTCTCCAGGCCCTCTGAGCAGCACAGGGCCCAAGAGGCCCTCCATGTCTTCCAGGCAGAGCTGGGACAGACCCCAGTCCATAGCCATCTGAGCTGACTCTGATCAGGCCTGTCCATCCTCAGGTGCCGGTCCTGATGACACCTCCACCCCCACCATTCCCACCCCCTCCACTGTCAGCTGCGAGGCTCTCCCTGGAGGATGGAAGAAGAGGGGGCTCAGAACATGGGAGCCCTCCACGTGAGTGCTGGGCCTCAGTGGGACTGGCCTGGGCACAGTGTGGTGGGCACCATGACCCCATTGGGAAGCACTTCTGGGGGAGCTGGGCAAAGGCAGCCGAGCACATAGGGTTATCCCTTCCCATCACCCCCTCTCCCAGGTTTCTTTTTGAAGTCTCTTGCTTCTTAAAAGTGAGGTTGGCATTTTCTACCCTGGGCCATGATCTCAGTAACCTGAGCAGAGGTGAAACCAGGTAGTCTGGGGGGATGAGGGGAGGGGCAGGCTAGAGACCTCAGAGGGCGAGTCGGTGTCGCCAGGCAGCAGGAAATGGGCAGGCCCTCCAACTGGGGGTCACTGCCCGTGCTGACTATGTGTCTGTCTGTATGTATGGGTGTCTGCATGTGTATATCTCCGTGTGTCTATATTGTCTGTGTGCCTATTTGCATGTGTGTAAGTGTGTCTGCATGGGTGCAAGTATGTCTCCATGTGTCTGTGAATGAGTGTGCATTTATGTCTTCGTGTATTGACTGCATGTGTGTCTGAGTATATCTGTGTGTGACACATGTGTCTCTGTCTACGTGTGTGTGTGTGTGTGTGTGTGTGTATATACGTGTGTGTTTGGTCTCTGTGTGTGTCTATGAGTCTGTATGTCTGTGTCTTGCTCAGAGTTGTGGCACAGGTATCTGTTTGCAGCAAGGGCTGGGGCATTAAGAAGACAGGCTTTGGGGCCTCATGGGGCTGGGCGAGGTTCTGAACCTTTGGGCATCATGGGCTCCTGGCTCTGTCCAGGTTGCAGGGGAGCTGGGAGGGGCTCTGGGAAGCAGAGTGTGAAAAGCAAGCTGCTCAGGAGGCCAGGCTGGGGTTCCTGATCCTGAGAATGACAATCCTGGTGTTAATCATTCTGTCCCTGACTCCAGGGTGACTTTGTGGCAGGCCAGTGGGGTCTCTGGCTCCAAGCCCAGTGCTGGGGGTTTGAGGGGGGGGGTCTGTCCTGGGTCCAGGAGCTCCAGGCTTGGATTCTCCCTGTGCCCCTGCCTTTCTGATGCTCCTCTGACCCAGCTGTCCTCAGCAGCCATGACTCTCAGCCCAGCATGCCCTGGCCAGCCTGTCTCGAGGGAGCAGACAACCTACACGGATCCCCCAAGGGTCACCACCAGTGTCCCAGTGGCCCTTAAGGTGGGTCTCTGTTCTTCACTTCCCCGTTTCTCCTCCTGGAGGTTAACTCAGGAGCCCAGCCAGCCCCTCCCTGTGTTTTCTCAGCCTAAGCAGCTAGCTCTTGGAGATCCTGAATTCTGGGGAGACAAGAATTTCAGGGCAGCAGCAACTTGCCACCCATCATAGACTGTGAGATCATTCTATGTCACCCCAGCGTCCCAGACTCCAGGGTCTCTTGGCCTGACTTCTAAGCAGGGTCCACTGTGGCCACTTGGAAGCTGCAAGAGGCAGGCTCTGGAGTCTGATCCTCCTCAGGAACTGCCAACCAGTCCGTGCTGCTGCCCCACCCCTGCCACCTTCAGCCTTACCTTACCCTGGGTCCTGAAGGAGTCTGAAAATTGCCCAGAGTGCTGGTCCTCTCGGAAGGCAGAGTTCATTAAAGGCCCTGATAAGTCTACACTACAGACCTGGGGGTCAGGCTTTGTCCATGTTGCTGTGTGTAGCCTCCCACAGGGCATGCCCTGGGTAACCTCATCTAGGCCACAAAAGAGGGCAGGGGTGACCTCTGGTGGCTACTCCACTCATCACCCAGGCCCCTCCAGAGCAGGCCCTTGTCCTCAGGGCTAAGGACCCCTCGAGGCACATGACCTGCCTGTCTCCACAGGGGCGGGAGATGGAGGCAGGGGATGCCCCTGATGGCCTGGCCACTCTGCAGCTGGATGGGCTACCCTCAGGAGACCTCGACGGGCTGGTGCCCACCCAGGACGAGCATGGCCGGCCAATCCCCGAGTGGAAGCGCCAGGTGATGGTGCGGAAGCTTCAGGCACGCCTGGGGGCAGACCGCCCTCCAGAGGACCAGGTGTGGCAGGGCAGGAAAGGGGCAGAGCCAGAATAGGCGAACAGGGCTGGAGGGAAGGTTAGAGGGGGCTGAGGTCCTAGTGCTTGGCCAGAGGGAGAGGGTGGGGCTAGAGAGGGGCCAGGCCTGCAGGTAAGGAGGCCTTTCCTGGGACCTGGGATCCAAGACCCAGATGTGGCCTCCCTGCTGGGTGTCATCTCAGCTTTTGTTTTTGAGTCAGGGTCTCCCTGTAGCCCCAGTTGGCCTGGAACTCCCTGTGTAGACCAGGCTGGCCTTGATCTCATGGAGATCCACGTGCCTCTATTACCCAAGTGCTAGGATTAAAGGCCGTTGCCACCAGCTTCCTCTTCTGCCACACTGTGGTGCAGACCCCAATCACAGAGCTCTAACCAAGGTCTTTAAGGCTTCAGACGAGTGGGCCCCAGGGGCACTGTCATCTAGTGGGTGGGCTGGCCCCACTCTCCTGGTGTTTAGATCATTACAGTTACCAATGCAAAAGTAGTGGGGTGGGGCCGGCAAATCCTACCATGGGGAAGTGTGAAGTGGGGGCAGGGGCTGTAAGGGAATACTCCCGGAGTGCATCCTCTGGGAAGGTAACCTTGAGCAGGAGCTAGAAAGAAGTGAGGAGCCCATGGGAATTAGGGTCTGAAGCATTCTGCATTCTAGGCAGAGGAAGCAGCATGTGCAAAGGTCCTGAGATGTGGTGGGCTGACCCCAGGGTGGAAGGGGGTTGTGAGGTGTGATGTGGTGGTGGTGGTGGTGGTGGTGAGGGTGGGGGGTGCTGAAGTAGACTGGTTTGTGGGGAGAGTGAGACTTGAGGGGATGGTAGGTAGAATTAGCCCCCACCAGATGTCTGCAGAGCCCCTGGGACTGAGCAGGGAAGGGACAATGATTTGACCTGGGTTTTAACAGATTCTGCCTGCTGTGTGGACAAGTAGTTCTAGATCTTACTCTAAAGACTTGCGATTTGCATGGTTTATCCGATTTAGCGCTGAACTGTTCATACAGCGCTGTCAGCCATGGGCGAAGGAGTTAAAAGTCGGTGAAATCAGGATAGCTCTGTTTCACTGGTCCGGCCCCATGTCCCTTCCCCACCAGCCACAGGTGCTCAGGGCTCCTGCCTGCTCCAGCCTGTCTCTAGCCAATGTGTCTCCTGCTCTGTATGTTTTGAGGGTCTGCAGCAGATGCCCTTTGGAGTCTAAGAGGTGGACTCAAGGTTCTGTAGAAACAAGAGGCTCTGGGGAATGGTTGCCAAGAGGCTTGGAGCTATGCCTGGCACAATACTGGGGACTTTGTGCTGGCCGCTTGTGGGTTGGATGCTGTACAGGACATTGGGGTCCACCCCAAGGCTGGTGAGGAGGCAGGCAGAAGAAGCTCTCTGGCTGTCACTCAAACACAGAAGGTTCAGGGTTGAGTGAAGGCCCAGAGGGCCTTGACTGCCAGCACCAAGGGGTGTTAGGAGGACATGAGCAGAAACTGCCCCCAGCCTCCAACTCTGGACTGGGGCGCACACTTCACTTGGTAAAGCCAGGCCAGAGCCAGGGTGTCCAGGGGTTGCTGGGCTGTGGGGAAGGAGGCAGAGCCCACCCTGTCCGTGCCATCAGCGAGTGTGAGCTGCGGCCATCAGCGAGTGTGAGCTGCGGCCATCAGCAAGTGTGAGCTGCGGCCATCAGCGAGTGTGAGCTGCGGGCTGCTGACCTAGCTTTCCTGTGCCCAGGACCACGGCGGGAGCTCAGGCCGGGTCCCCGAAGAGCAGGCGACCTGGCGGTACTCACAGACCCACCAGGCCATCCTGGGACCCTTCGGGGAGCTGCTGACCGAGGACGACCTAGTCTACCTGGAGAAGCAGATCAACGACCTGCAGCTCCGGCGCCGCTGCCAGGAGTACGAGAGCGAGCTGGGCCGGCTGGCTGCGCAGCTACAGGCCCTGCTCCCGGAACCCCTGGTCAGCATCACCGTCAACAGCCACTTCTTGCCCCGGGGTCCCGGCCTGCAGGACGAGGAGGCCCAGACGCCCGAACTCGAGGGCCCCGCGGAGGCCGGGAAGGTGGAGGCGAGCGCGCAGCCCCTGCCCTTCTGGTGCAGCCACATCGGCCGCCTGGTGCGCAGCATGTCCCTGCTGCTGAAGGGCATGAACGGGCTGGCTCAGGGGGAGGAGAAGCCGGCCCCCCGCGGTCTCCAGGACCCAGGCAGGGAGGCTCCGGCCGGGCTGCCTCGCAGCGAGGCGCAGCGCGAGATCCGGGAGAGCGGGGTGTCGGTGCGGACGCTGCGGGGCAACTTCGAGGCCGCCCCGGGCCTGCCCTGCGCCCCGACCCCGGGCCCCTGCGATGGGGGCGCGCGGCCCCGCCAGGG